TTTTGTTTTAATATCTTTGGGCAAGTGGGCATGCATGTTACTCTGGTTATTAGTTTGGCAGCACTGGGGTGTGCAGCACTGTTCTCATTGGTAGCAGGTGGGAGCAGACACAAATCTCTGATCACTGACCATGCAGAGCAGCTGAGGGCAGGCTGGGCAGGTGTTGGCCATCATATGTTGTCAATCTAGTGGTGCTAGAGTGGGTGGTGCTACTAAACCAGTGGGTGGGGAAGCAGGTGTGGTGGGTATGGCTGGGTAGGGTCACTGGTTCCAAACTGCCGTTGCTGTTATTGTGTTGTTATGGGAGATCACGTTCCTCCGGTTGCCTGATCACTAATGTGGTGCTTGTGCACTGGGCAAGTGCAGCTGGCTCTTAGGTTCCCACCTAGATCAGAATGCTGCTTATAATAATTCAGAATGGCTGTGCTGTGCTGCTTGGCAGTTTACTACTGCTCCTTGATCACTGTTTTCTTGCAGTCTCTTCCTCTCACTGGTAATTGATTTACTTCTTTATCCTCTCCTTCGAAGCTCTGGGATCTAGCATTGTCACCCATAGCTGTTTCTTTGTTTTCTTAAGTCTTTGTTGTAGAAGGTCTATCTTACAGACATGGAGACATTTTCCACATAATTCTGTTGTTGTCATTAGGTGCCTTTGAGTTGGCTCCAACTCATAGCGACCCAGTGTACAACAGAATGAAACAGTGCCTGGCCCTATGCCAGCCTCACAATCCTTGCTATACCTGAGCCCATCGTTGCAGCCACTGTGTCACTCCATCTCACTGAGGGCCTTCTCCTTCTTTGCTGACCCTCCACTTTACCAATCATGATATCCTTCTCCAGGTAATGGTCCCTTCTCACAACATGACCAAAGTAGGTGAGATGAAGTCTGGCCATTTTCGCTACCAAGGGGCATTCCAGCTGCACTTCTTCCAGGACAGATTTATTTGTTCTATTGGAAGTCCATGGTACTTTCAGTATTCTTTGCTAACCCCACAATTCAAAAGCATCAACTCTTCTTTGGTCTTCCTCGTTCATTGTCCAGCTCTCATGCATATGAAGCGATTGAAAATACTATGGCTTGGGTTAGGTGCACCCTAGTCTTCCAGGAGATATCTTTGCTCTTCAGCACTTTAAAGAGGTCTTTTGTAGCAGATCTGCCCAGAGCAGCAATACATCCTCTGATGTCTTGATGCTGCTTCCATTGGTGTTGATTATAGAACCAAGTAATATGAAATCTTTCACAACTTTAATCTTTTCTCCATTTATTGTGATGCTGTTTATTGGTCCAATTGTGAGGATTTTCGTTTTCTTTATGTTGAGATGTAATCCATACTGCAGACTGTAGTCTTTAATCTTCACCAGTAAGTGCTTCAAGTCATCCTCACTTTCAGCAAGCAAAGTTGTGTTGTCTGTGTATCACAGGTTGTTCATGATTCTTCCTCCAATCTTGATGCCACATTCTTCTTCATATCATCCAGCTTCTCAAATTATTTATTCAGCATACAGATTGAATAAGTATGGTGAAAGGATACAACCCTGACACACTCCCTTCATGATTTTAAACCATGCAGTATCCTCTTGTTCTGTTTGAACGACAGCCTCCTGGTCTCTGCACAGATTCCTGATAAGCACAATCAAGTGTTCTGGAATTCCCATTCTGCTCAATGTTATCCATAATTTTTTATGATCCACACAATCAAATGTTTTTGCATAGTCAATAAAACACAAGTAAACATCTTTCTGGTATTCTTTGCTTTGAGCCAAGATCCATCTGACATCAGTAATGATAACCCCTTGTTTCACATCCTCTTCTGAATCCAGGTTGCAGTTCTGGAAGTTCTCTATCAATATATTGCTGCAACCATTTTTAATTATCTTCAGTAAGATTTTACTTGCATGTGATGTTAATGATATTCTTCAATAATTTCCACATTCTGTGGAATCATCTTTCTTTGGAATGGGTACAAATATGGATGTTTTCCAGTCAGTTGGCGGGTAGCTGTCTTCCAAATTTCTTGGCATAGACAAGTAAGTGCCTCCAGCATGGCATCCATTTGTTGAAACATCTCAGTGGGTATTCCATCAATTCCTGGAGCCTTGTTCTTTGCCAAGTCCTTCAGTGAAGCTTCGACTTCTTCCTTCAGGAAGGACTTCTTCCTTGATCATATGCCATGTGTATGGCCATTGTCTGTGTTGTTCTAGTTTAGCATTATGTCACTAGACATGTTTATCTGTTACTTTTTATGTCTTCTACAAGTTGCATTTTGTATGTTTTGGGAGAGTGGTAAAACTGTGTGTTTAAGTAACATGCATTTCTTTTGGATACATCTTTGTGGCTTAGACCTCTGCTTACCAGAGATTTACTTTTTAAGATAATTTCATTTTAGAAAAATTTTAAATTTACCAAAAAGTTGCAATAGCAGAGATAATTCCTGTATATCCTACACTCAGCTTCCCCTAATGTTAACGTCTTACATAAATATGGTACATTTTTTTCAAACTAAGAAGGTAACATTGGTAGAACACTATTAACTAAACTGAAGATTTTATTTATTTATTTTTATTTCTTGTATTTTCACTAAGATCTTTTTTTCTGTTCCAGGATCTAATGTACAATTCCACATTGCATTTAGCAGATTAATATTTTAATTTTTTTCTTTACATTCCAAATCATTCAAAATGATTTCTGTATGATGATAATTTCCATCAAGATTCCATTTATCTTTACATATTCAACTAATTACTTTTATCTGCAGGAATTAAATTTGCTTTACATAATTTTGTGCTGAAAATAATATCCTCCATGTACTCCAGAGCTCAATTTCACAATCTCAGCCCTATTGAATGTCAGGGTCTGCTCCCCACGACACCACTGGGGCCAAAGAAGCTTGGGAAAACTGCTCAAAAGGCCCTGCCTTTTTGTGTTTCATCATCATTTTATTTTGCTATTTCCTTTGTCCTTTTCTCTTTTCACTTTGAGATACTCTTTTGAGTATAATTCTATATGTAATTGTGTATTTGTATGCATAGTCTGCAATTTAAATTCTGCACTAAGTGCTTGGGGGGAAAAAAAAAGAGCTGGTTTTAAAGCTTATTTCAAGCTGTTAGACCTGCTTCTGGGCAATTAGAATAATAAAATGAGATTTAATACCTTTCTCCTTCCACATTGCCAGGTGCATTTATAAACCACATGGCTTCCCCTGACTGGAGGAATAAGTAAACTCACGACAGCAATGGTGGCAGTATTCTAAAATGTTAATATTTAGAAAGAAGTGAATTATGATCATCTTCTTCCTGAGGTTCACTTAAGAAAGCCAATAGGTTTTTCTGTCTCTGTGCGTTCCCAGGGAAAGGGCAGCAATGCTCAGTGAGTGAAGGCAGAACTGCTGCGCTGGTGGGGTTTAGGGCATCGCAGAGGAACAATGTGTGGTTTCTCTAGCAAGGTGGCACATCCTGGGAGAACTCTAACAGACATAATTAAAGGAGACCTCATCCCTCACCACAAGTGTTGAAGAGCTGGTTGCTTAAATGGCAGCTGAGAGGGAAACTTGGAGGACCAGCAGCAGGTCTGTGCACCAGTCTTTGCTTCACGTTTACCAAGAACTCCAGCCCCACACAGAAATGCAGACCACAAGCAGGACATTCTTGACAAGCCAAAGGTTTGGGGGAGCTGAAGGAAATATCTCCCAGCTGGCTCTATAGCTTGTGTGGATAAACTGAGAGACTAGAGTAACAATCCGAGATTTAGAGAAAACCTGAGGATGAAATGAAGTAGCTTCAACTGAAGAATTGCCTATAATACAGATAAGGATTGGTTCAAACCACAGTCTTGAGAAAGAGGGTCATGCCAGAAGGTCTTAACTATTTGCACATGTAGGATGAGTGTGACTGAGCATCTTGGCTTGAATATTCCAGAAATAGGACCTGTGACAAGGAGCTGAGTGCAAACAGTAGTTTATTTGGGAGGTGAAACCAGGGTGATCTTGTTAAAATGTAGATTCTGATTCAGTATATCTAGGGTGGAAAAGCAAATTCTCAGCAGGAGCCAAACCTGAATGCACTGTTTCAAAGCCCCCAATGAAACTCTAGTAGGGAAGCTGGGAACAGAGACAAAAGAAGGGAAGGAAGTTGATAAAGGGTGTGCTATCATCAAGGCAAAGAGCTCTGGTGGTGCAGTCGTTAAAGGTGGTGGTTTGAATCCACCAGCCGGATAAAGATGAGATAGTCTGCTTCCATAAAGATTTACAGCCTTGGAAACCCTATGGGGGCAGTTCTGCTCTGTCCTATAGGGTTGCTGTTAGTCAGAATCGACTTGATGGCAGTGGGTAGATCATCAAGGCAATTACCACTGCAGGCAACTGGAGGTTAGTCCTATTAAGGAACTCTGTAAGATAGCAAAGAACATGTCTTATTACTCACAAAGGGGCAAGGCATACATGTTGTTTAATCGACCACCTCCCCATCTGTCATTGGTTGAGGGCTGCTTCTAGGGTCATTAGTGCTTTGGCACTTGCAGCTTTTCTTAGAATTGGGTTCTGGCATCCAGGAAACAAAGCAAAACAAAAATCAAGAACACTACCTCACAAACAGAGAATTGCAGATGGCAATGAAAACATCTGTTTCACTGATGAAGTGATATCTGGGAACAAGTGGGATGGTTTATTTTCATGGTTGACTTAGAAGTTTATCTAAGATTTACTAAGAGAAAGTACTCATATAGCTATGAGCTGGTATTTTCAGGCCAGTGGGCTTCAGGTACTATTAATGCAGGTGTGAATGATCAGAGAAGGAAAAGACAGATTCTCAAGTATATATTACCTTGGAGATAGCTAGACTGCAAAATCCGGAGGACTAGCATTGTGTTTTCCACTTGCATGGATTTTAGGGGGTGTGTGTTTAATGATGTCTCATTGTCTGCTCCATCCATGTTGTCGTCTGACCAATGAAAGAACTCTCTACTGTTCTGCTCAAGGGAGCAGAGGTAGGTGACAGCTCCTGACTCCCTCACCTGGCTGCTGGTCATCATCTCATCCTCCTCACAGAGCTGATTCTCCTGCAGAGTCCTCCCCTGTCTCTTGCAGACATCATGGAGATTCTTGATGTCAGTTTGTAGGTTCAAGAGCTTTTTGTTCAGGCTGCTCACTTCTCTGTCTCTCTCCCCCATCTAGGCAGCCAGAAAAACAAAAGCATAAATTACAAACTATCAAGAAAATGATTACTTAACAGGTTGACAGAGACTTTAAATTTGTTGGAAATTTGTCCATCAACCCTTAGCTGTTGTTCCTCATCGTGTGTAATGTTTACACAGGAGCCGTTGAAAGACGTCTAAGTGCTCTGCATATTCAATTACTTATTTATATTAATTAATCTTCACCACACTGCTGGGGCGCAGCACAGGCATTTGCCCTGTCAGAGTAGAATAATTCCAGGCACCTAGTGGACTGTCAAAGGAGCCCTGGTGGCACAGTGGTTAAGCACTCAGCTGCTCTCTGAAAGGTCAGTGGCTCAAACCCACCAGCCTCTCTGCAGAAGATCAGACAGTCTGCTTCCATAAAGATTATGGCCTTGGAAAGCCTGGGGCAGTTTGACTCTCTACCATTGGGCTGCTGACTCAGAATCAGGTCCATGGCAATGGGCTCAGGGGCGTGTCTGTGCCTGTTCGTTGTTCAGCCACTGTGCTGGCTCTTCCTCACACTCGTGAGCACAGGCATTACCGTCTCGAAGCTTTAGGTCTTAGAAGTGAGGCCCAGAGCTTTTGTGGTGGGTGCCTTTTTTTAGGTGAGATTACTCAGCAACGGGCTCTGAGGTGATAATTCACAAGCTCAATTAATGAAATGCTCCCAAGATAAATCAGTAAGCAGGTGAGGGTAAGGACAGGGATGAGGAAGAAACCAAGATAGGGTGCTTGCTATTCCAGACAAAGTCCTGTATCTTTAGTCAGATCCCTCAGAGAACTCCAGAGTGTAAGTTATACCTTAGAGTTTGTCCTGACTGGAGACAATGAAAGTTGGGATGTCAGACTCATGCATCAGTACCAAAAGCAGCCCTATGGCATCTAAGCTCCTAAATACTTCCTATAGCCAAAGCAATGCCGATAACCCAAAGGTAGTCTTTCTCAGAGAGTTGCAGCTGTAAATACACACAGAAGCCACAAAAATGGGGAAGAGATCTGAGTCACAGGGCCCAAGGTCCCCTAGCTGGTTAGCAGCAAAGCCCACTGCCACTGCTCTGCCATCACATGCCACTGATTGGTCTGCTACTGAAATATATGAGATACATAACCCATATTCCCAGGGGTACTGCAGACCTGATATGGACATCATAAATCAAGCCTTACTGGACAGGTCAGTTTAAGCAACCTCTGTGCAAGGCCAAGGGGAGACAAAGGATAAACGTGAGAATCGGACACTGCAGTGTCAGAGATTCGGAATTGAGAAGGTTTCCCAGAAGTGCTGCTGTCTCAGCTGATTTATTTCTTCATTTCCATTTAGTACCTGGATTTTTTTTTTTTTTTTTTTTAACCACTTTACGGTTTAATTAGGTTAACGGCAGGGCTCTGTCATTAAAAGGATTTCATTATCTCAAAACTCTCCCCCCTCCCTTTTTCTCCCTTCCCTTGTTCCTTGCTTCCAGAAAAACAACAGTGGATGTCAACTGCCCTAAGCATGTAATTACCATTAAGACAGTTACCAGGGACTCTCTTAAGAGAATAAGTGTAGAGTGGCTTAAAAAAAAAAAAAAAAAAGGTGTACAGACACTGTTTTCTAACTTGAGAACAAAATCCTTGACCCAACAAGGAGCAGGACTTTGCTTTTACTGCTTTAAATCCTTTTTCTCCTGGCTGCCACACTATAAGGTGGGAAGGCTTGTTGAGGAGCTGAACCCCAGGGATCCTCTCCATTCTTGCCACCAAACTTTCTCTCCTGGGTGTGTCTGAAAAGATTAAGTGATAACACAATGGCTGCTCTAGCCAAGTGCCCTATACTCTTGATTTGATATTGACTATATGTATTTTAAAGGGAGGACCATGTCACCAGTTGTCCCAAATGGTGCTTAGCACACTGTGGACTCACAAAATATCAATGATAGCTCGAGCCTCTCTAAGTTAAAAGCTAAATGCTCTCTTTCAGGTCAGTGAGAAAATCCCCCTTCCCTCCAGGTTTGGATGTCCTCTGAGCAGAAGATGCACTAGCCCAATTTGTGGCACCACCAGAATTTTAGAAATGGATCTTTAATGTAAATGATCTCATCAGATTGGACATTAGCATTGACTCTGAGTCTCTGAGGCAGTTTCTTCGTTTATAACAGAGGTTTGGACTAAATAATCTTTCTTTGAAAATTTCTTAAATTAGTTGCGTAAATAATGGGTTTTGCTGGATGCCAAATGAAATTAGCTTTTGAAATAAAGACCTGACCATTTACTCTTAAAGTCCAACTCACAAGGGGATTCTGATTCATCTGAACAGCTGTGAAGGCTCTGGGAGAGCAGGAAGGTGATTTCCATGAACTACAAACCATCTTTTTACCGTGGGTAGTTGTAAAAGGAGGCTGGGCTTGCCATAGAACTCCAGAAAGACAAGTGCTTCTGGGGTCCCAGTAAACCTAATTACTTGTTAATATCTTGCACAGAGGTCAAATCACACTGTTTAGAATCCTATCTGCTTTATGAAGGGTAAGCCCAGGCAGATGCTTTCTGAGTATCAGTATGCAGTAGGAATTGATTTAATCTGACATTTCATCAATCATAGCTCTCCAGCCAGTACTGGGCATGGGATGCACTGAGAGTCATGATGCTGACCCTTGGGCACCATCTGATCCTGGCTTGGATCTGAAGTCATTAAGGATGGCTGAGATCACAAGCCTCCTGACACTAGGCGAGTTTTCACTCACATAAGCCATGTACGTAGATTTTAAATTTGCTGGAAATAAGAGGTAGGAGCCCAGTCATTCTGTTGAGAGCATGTGACATCATTAACAACTGCCAACCCACTGGCAAAATGGTGAGTGCTGATACTGCGGTGTTGACCGCACTCATGATAAATATTGGAAAACAGGTTATTTACTGAAGCAAGTTTTCTGTATTATTATTATTTTCCCCAAAAAAGTATGCCTTCTTAAACACATATTCCAAAGAAAGGAAGTAATTTTCCTTTAGGTTTCAAAGTATTGAAAGATGGTCTCATGCTTCTTCTTGAGGACAAACTGGAAGCTAATGTTAAACTGAAGCTTCTGATTCAGGAGCCTTCTCAGAGCCCAAGAGCATAACACAGATTCAAAGGGCAGCATTCCCAGTGATTTGGCACGTGAATAAGGAAGCTTGAGTGGCAGTTTCAGAGATATATTGGAGTCAACCAATCACGCCATAAAAGTTATCATCTTTGACTTAGGAGGAGAACAAATCTTCAACAATGGAAAACCACCACAAACACTTAACTATTTATGGTGAAAGAAATGCTTTAAAAAGCATGAAATCTGAAAAACTAATGCTCTTTTAGGAATTGTTACATTTTACTTGTATAATAATAGACTTTTTATTTATCCACAGTAATTCTCAATACTATTAAGGATATTACTAACTTGATTCTGGAGTTTACTTTTCCATTTATAGAAACACTACAGTTTTTGCATTACTTATGATGGGAATTAATAAGCATTTATACAAGGTTTTGCCTGTAAAAAACTTGGAACCAATTATGTTCATGCCCTGAAGTATGAGTATATTCTATTGTGTTCTAAATTCTTTTAAAATTGGCAAACTATATAAGTAAGTGGTTTAGAGATACACATGGCATATGGCAGAGGTCAGCCATCTATGGAATGTGGGCTGATTTTTATTGGCGGTTGGGCAGTAGCTACATACTTTTTTCCATAACATCCTTGGGAATTTATTCCACTAGAAGGTATGCTCCAAAAGAAGGTAAGGACAACAGAGATCTTTATCTGTTTTGTTCAACGCTTTATCATCAACTCCTAGAATAATACCTGGCTCATCAGCCCAGGAAGCATATAAGTCATATATTCGAGCATATGATTCTCATTCTCTGAAACAAATCTTTAATGTTAATAATTTGAATTTGCCTCAAGTTGCTTTGTCATTTGGTTTCAAGGTGCCTCCTTTTGTTGATCTGAATGTGAACAGTAATGAAGGCAAACTTAAAAAGCGAGGAGGAGGTGGTGGTTTCAGCTACCAGAAAGCCAAAAAGGTTGAAAAGTCCAGGATCTTTAAAAACATTAGCAAGAAATCACCTGACAGCAGGCAGTTCTCGCACTGAAGACACACCTTCCTTCATCTTCAATAACTTTGTCCCAAAATGGATTTTCTTCCCTTTGTTCTAACAGGGAAATGTTTGATGCCTTTAGAATTTGGACTGACTTACCAAGAGTATAAATTGACTTGGGCTGCAGACACTAAGGACTGTTGCAGCAGATCTTTCTTTATTTTATTTGGGGGGTAGGGAGTGGGAGGGATGCATAAAACTGTTCAATTTTTCTTGCTTGCCCAAGGGCAAAACAAAAGGATATTTTTAGTGTTTGCTTCTTGATAAAATAATTAAATTTAAAATATTTTCCCCTTCAAATTTATATCATTGTTTTTATAGAATTCTTTCTGTCCCTTCTCTTCCTGGTGTCTGAAAGTTTTGTGGAATGAATTGTTATGCTAACTTGCTGTAAAAGACAGGTGACCTAGTATACGGAACACGTGGTGTGTTGGTGGTAATGCTAAAAACAGTGGCAGTTTATTTTTTGGTTTTGACTATTTCTTGGACTATAACAGTAGTTCTTTTAGTCCTCCTGAAAGTGCTATGGTACAAAAAGGCACAGAACTTGGGGAAATATGTAAGGAGTACCTTAGATGTAAAGTAGTATTGGTTTCTATGTACTGCTACTCGGAAGGAAGGTCGGGCAATCTACTTCCATAGTGATACTGCCTCGGAAACCCAAGGAGGGGTCGCTATAAGTCAGGTCTGACTCTATGGCACATAACAACAACAACAACAACATCAAAGGAGCTGCAAAATTATCAGCTGAGTTGAAGGAATGGCCTTCTAGAAAACTTCATCCTTGTTCCCTGGCAGTGAGTCTATACAGCTTCTCCAGTAAGCCAGTAGGAAAGGAGCTGAAATTTGCCACACCTCTTTTAGAAGCTTCTCAGCACTTGGTAGT